TATATATATATATACACATATACACACACACACACACACACACACACATATACTCACACATATATATATATATACATACACACTTTTTGCACGTTCTAATTGATAATAAATTACATATATATTTTATAATTAAACTCATGACATATTATTAATTCAAAAACATGATGTCAGGTAACTATACCATTATAAGAGCCTCTCTTATTCGCTCTTATCTCGCTTCCTACCAGCTGTGCGGAACAATCATATAATTTTTTTTACGTACGAGCAAGTGCCGACAAGTCTGCAGAGTCCACACGCTGGTTTTCTTAAAAGATATACAGGCCAGCCATACGCTGCCATGGCAAACAGCATGTAGTAACACACCTCCTTATACATGGACATCTCAGACTGTAAACAGAAGGAGACTATCATAAATAATAAACATACATCAACACAAGCACACATATATATTGTATTCTTCAAATACCGAGTTCTTGAGGTCCAAGTACTTAGTGTTGCGAGTTACAGGTATCCCGGACAGAAAGGCTAAAACATCATTGTTTGCCTGCAAGAGAGAGAGAGAGAAAAAAATGTATTATTATTTGGACAGTGAGGGATAATTATCCAATCAAAAGTAATATTACGGAAAAGCTAATGCACACCTGATCCAAGATGGCTGACCTCTTGGCTCGTTGTCTTTGTCGGAGCAGCACCAAGCCAGCGATGATGTCACTCGGCACAATATCCAGATCCCGGAAAAACTCGGCGAACAAGCTGGCCACCTCAGAGTAAGCGTCCTGAGAGAGAACATCTTCTGCTGAGAATGTTGTGTGTGTATGTGTGAGATGCTGTCACAGTAACTGGCATTTGTGTGTATTTGAGTCTTACAGATTGTGTATCTTTTGTTCGAGTGCAGCACATGAAGAACTTGAGTCTCCTGCTCCAGCTGCTGGCTTGACCTTCTTCTAGCCTGTGTCTGAAAGAGATAAAACCCAGCTGAGCAAATATCATGAGCAGATTTAGGAATTATAGGTCAATAGATGGGTATTACATAGATCGAAACACGTATCTAGAAAATACGTGTGGAGTGGAAAAATGGGGTATGCAACAAGTAAATGTGTGTGTGTGTGTGTGTATATATATACACATACATACACACACACACACACACACACACACACACATACATACATACATACATACATACATACATACATATGGCCAGCTCTAGGAAGGGGTCTGGTGGTCCCAAACGTCTTCCATTTAAGGATTATGGAGGCCACTGTGCTCTTAGGTACCTTAAGTGCAGCAGAATTTTTTTTGTAACCTTGGCCAGATCTGTGCTTTGCCACAATTCTGTCTCTGAGCTCTTCAGGCCGTTCCTTTGACCTCATGATTCTCATTTTCTCTGACATGCACTGTGAGCTGTAAGGTCTTGTATAGACAGGTGTGTGGCTTTCCTAATCAAGTTCAATCAGTATAATCAAACACAGCTGGATTCAAATGAAGGGGTAGAACCATCTCAAGGCTGATCAGAAGAAATGGACAGCCCCTGAGTTAAATATATGAGTGTCACAGCAAAGGGTCTGAATACTTAGGACCATGTGATATTTCAGTTTTTCTTTTTTAATAAATCTGCAAAAATTTCAACAATTCTGTGTTTTTCTGTCAATATGGGGTGCTGTGTGTACATTAATGAGGGAAAAAAATTAACTTAAATGATTTTAGCAAATGGCTGCAATATAACAAAGAGTGAAAAATTTAAGGGGGTCTGAATACTTTCCGTACCCACTGTATATATATACACAATACCAGTTAATGTTTAAAAATTAGATGTGCACAATATTGTTGAAATTAAACTAAAACTTATTTTACATAATATTTACTCAATGTACTTAAAAAAAATTGAAAGCAAAAAAAGCACACAATTCAGTATTATTTTATTATTTATTTTATAATTTTAGTATTTGTTTTATTATAGTATTTTTTTATATTTTACATTTGTTTTTATTTTTATATTTTTACTTATCATTATAATATTAAAGTAATTCCATGTGCTTTTGTCATTTTTTATTAATTTTTGTATTTTAATATTTCTTTTTAGCTTTCATTTCTTTTTAAATTTATTTGAGTTATTTTAGTACTTCAACTTAAAAGAAATGTTGCTTAATCTAAATAAAATAAGTTTAAGTTCTTAATTTTTAAATTAGTTTAAGTAATTGTATGTGATTTTGTCATTTTTATTAGTTTGTTTTAAATCTTTTATTTAGCTTTAATTTATCTTAAATTTTATTAATTTTAATCTATACTTAATTTTATAAAATTATTTTCAATTAACGAAAATTTTTTATTTTCATTTAATAATAACAACACTGCATAAAATGTGCAATTTTAGCAATCTATGAGAAAAAAATCTATGGTGTGGATTTAAATAGGGTAAAATAAATACTACACTCTTATTGGATGCATAAAGCATAATAGAAATAACAAAATAATTAATGAACAAAATATTTAATAAATGAACACTTAAAAGGCGGGGGAATTGTAAAACTTTGCAAAAGATTGATGTGGGGCATCCCGAAACAAGCTAGCATGAACACTGTTAAGCGCTGTACCTGAGAGTGTACGTTGTGAGGTTACGTTGACGGCGGCGAGTTGCTTTCAGCTTCACAAAGGTCCGTCCAGTGGGGTCAAAGGTACACATCATGGTGAAACACACACTGAAGATGACCAACCAATTACACGCCACAATTCCTGTTGAAAATAAATGAAGAAACTAAAAAAATAAAATAACTAATTTAAAGGGGTCATCCGATGCCCATTTTCCACAAGTTGATATGATTCTTTAGGGTCTTAATGAAAAGTCTGTAACATAGTTTGGTTAAAATTTCTTTTTAACCTTTTTTACCCTGTCAAAAACGGCTATTTTCAGAGCAAACCATTTGTAGCATTTGCCTTTAAATGTTAATGAGCTCTGCTGACCCCGCCTCTCTCTTCCGAGCTGCTCTCAGAGAGACTGTTTACTTTAGCCGCATTCATCTTGAAACTTGCTAATTAGCACATTATTAGGAAAGGCGATTTGCAAAGTTTCATTAAAAAACCTTATACTCCTTTTGTAGATGAAGCTGGATCACGAATGATTCGTGCGAACATAGACGCATTTAGGTAGATCGGGGGCGCATTCCCTTCAAAAACAAACGTAATCCTCTGCGTTTTCAGCGGCTCAGATGTCGGGAGTAAATGACGACTGCTATGTTCATTATTACATCCAACAACAGAACACCTCAATTGCTTAGGAGTCATTCTTGTCTACATCTGCTCCAGAGGTGAAACAATGGCGGACTGATGACAGCTCACTCAGGGCGGGGCTAAGGTCAGACACCAGTCCAGTCTGTGCTGAAACGCTACTGTCAATCAAACTATCGTGGGAGGGGCCTGTCTGTGTGACGTCACACAGACAGGCATCCGAGATCGGCTCGATTTGAGAAAGGGGTTAATATTTTAGTAGATAAAAAAAAAAACACTGGGTGGATTTTTATCATTATAGGGTGGTTGTGTACACACACTGCCAACACACATTTCATTTCAAACAACTTGTAAAAGTGCATGTAGCATCCGATGACCCCTTTAAATGTACTGTATACATCTTCATTTGGCGCTTATAGATTCAGTTCAGCAGGAACCACTTTACTGTAAAACTAACCAGCTGTCTCTTTGTCAGTTCGTGTCTTGTATAGACAGATGATTGGCATGAAAGTGAAGTGTGCTATTATGGGATGGGGGAGGACAATGAGCGACACTGATTCATGGTCGGCACAGACATGGGAAAAGCTACACTAGGCGTATTGTTAGAAAGCGTGCATTGAGATTCCAGGACATAAATAGCTAGAAATGACTTTCAAATTTACAGAAATCTGCTGAGATTAACAAGGGGAGGTTTAATGAGATTTTAACACATGCATGGACTGCCTCATGCTAGAAGGACATCACACGCCACACTCTCTGAAGACTATTCTGTTTTTTAACTTGCTGCCGATAGCGTGACGCATGTTAGGAATCACAATTTCACAAAAATATGAACAGCATTGATAATAAGAGCCATTATTAATATCTGAGTATCAATAATAAATGAGCAGCAAGTCAGCATATTAGAATGATTTCTGAAGGATCTTGTGACACTGAAGACTGGAGGAATGATGCTGAAAATTCAGCTTTGATCACAGGAATAAATTACATTTTAAAATATGTTTAAATAGAAAACCATTATTTTAAATTACAATAATATTTTACAATATTACTGTTTTTACTGTATTTCTAATCAAAATAAATGCAACCTTGGTGTGCATAAGATACCTTTTAATAACGTAATTAATCCAAACTTTTGACTGGTAATGTAAGTTTGTGAGACTGTTAGTGGTAGGTCTGCTTTACAATATTTAAACGTAAGGGTGAGTGATAAGGGTAACATGAAAATGTAGAGCATGATGTGTCCCAGTTTAGCCTTTTACTGTTGATGCAACGATGATGCAACTTGTCACATTAATACAGAATTTAAAACCGCTTCGAACGTGGCTCTGATCCCAGACTTATGATACATTCGTTATGAATAATCTTATCTTTTGGTTTGCATCCATGCAAATTAAAATAGAGAGAAAAAGATCAAATGAGATGGTACGCTTTTATCCAAAGTGAGGAACAAAAGCAATTTGAGAAGGAGCCAACCATATTCATAATATACAATGCCAGGTTTATGTGACAAAGCAAGCTAGAACCTTTAGTTTAATTTAGTACATTTTATATATAAAGCATTTAATTTACTGGATTCTCCAAAAACAAGCAGTGGTTGTTAAAATATAAACTAGTTTATCATTTTACATTTAAAGGGGTCATATGATGCTGCTAAAAAGAACATTATTTTGTGTATTTGGTGTAATGAAATGTTTATGCGGATTAAAGTTCAAAAAACACATTTTCCACATACTGTACATTATTGTTTCTCCTCTATGCCCCGCCTTTTTGAAACGCGTCGATTTTTACAAAGCTCATCGTTCTGAAAAAGCGAGGTGTGCTGTGATTGGCCAGCTATCCAATGCGTTGTGATTGGCCGAATACCTCAAGCGTGAGACGGAAATGTTACGCTCCTCACATACTGTTGAGGCCGTGTCCGGGCGGAGCGACGAGACAAAAACATTAAAACCCATTACAAACGAGGCATAGATAAAATATAACAAAGCTACAAATAAAGTAAGGTCTAACATTAGTTTTCAGGCACAGAAATGTAATAATTAAGTGTAAAATAACACCTCATAGTGTTCACTGTATAAATTAAACACAAATTCATCTTTGTTAAAGCTGTGTTTTGTTGTTAATTAACATTAATTACACAGACAGTAGCAGGCATTTATAGGCTGCTGTCCCTTTAAGACTTTATGTTTGTGTTCACTTCATTTAAAACACAACCGACTGTTTAAGGGAATCTTTGCTGAGACAGGTATTTGGAGATAATTTTGTGTGTATGTGTCCACTCAAGCATAAGGATACGGAATCAGGAATCAGTTCTGTGTGCGCATGCTAAATTTGAGGGTGTGTGCGCAAATAACAGTGCCTGAGTACTGAATTGAGTTCTCTTTCGCCTCTTCATGTGCTTGAATGGTTTAAAACGCTTGAATGTTTAAATTGGCAAGGCTTAGAAACACGTTCAAATGATCAACCACGTTCCGTTTCAACCCTACAAGTGAGTGAAGAATGTGAATCAAGGAAGGGATTTTATTTTACTATTCAAGATAGCCAGACTAGCGATTTTGTTTGGCCTGCACTTATTGTTTTTATACATGTCTTACCCAGGGCGAGGTTCTTGGCAGTGATGTCGGAGCAGGGATGGTAATACTGCACCAACCAGGCGATGCCCACCACCGCATACACCAGCTCCACTAGCAGGATGGCTGCAGAGAGGAGGAACAATTAATGTCAAGGGTTGATTTAGGGCCTAACCACATAGAGTATGAGTTTTCATCGTAAAATCATGTTGCACTGTAAATTTGCAGTGAAACAACGCAACCCAAAAAAATCTTGTTATGGTAAGCATTAGGATTATTATTGCTCATACTTTGTTCATTGATTTGGTCAAACCTCAAAACTCAAATGGAAGCTTGTTTCCGTCATGAGATAAAAAAATAAAAAGGGTAATTGTGAATTATTGTGAACTTTTCTTGTCTGAATTGCATGATGTTAACTTGCAATTGTAAGTTTGTAACTTAATATAATGAGATATAAACTTGCAATACTAACAAGTCGATAAAAAGTTGCAGTTACCTTTTTAATTTTTATTATTTTGCAGAAACAACAAAAAAACAGAATCGCAATATATAAACTTATATATTTTTTATAAATATATAAAAAAAAGTCAGAAGTGCAAGAAGTAAATTCAGAATTCTGAGGGTTTGCAATTGCGAGAAAAAATTTGAATTGTGAGATAAAAAGTCGCAACTATTTTGTATGTTTTATTCTGTGGCGGCAGAACATTTTTAAAAATTATTTAATGTAAACTCAAAATTCAGTGAAAAAAGTCAGAAATGCAAGATGCAAACTCGCAATTATGAGTTTATAACTTCCAATTGCAAGATATAAACTTGCAATTCTAGGAAAAAAATGCTTGAATTGTGAGATATAAACTTTAACTTTTACAATTACAAGAAACAAAAGTCAGAATTGTGACATAAAAAGCCGCGATTACCTCTTAAATTTTTTTATTCCATGGTGAAAACAAGTTTCCATAAACCTCTAATCCATGTGTGTGAATCAGAAAAAAACGCCAACGCATGCAATTACTGAACAAAATAGTCAATTTTAATTGGATTGAACTAAGAGCTCAGGATTATTTCACTGAGCTCACTGCAATACATTCTGGGATTGCTTTCTCTAAAAAGGATACTTGCAATGCTGCCTTCAAATTTGGAATAGAATTTACCACAGAAGCAGTCTATGATGCCTCAATGCAGCCATTGCAGGCTAGTTAACAGAGCTGACGTGTGAGATCGCATATATATTCAGAGAACTAGTGGAAGTTTTTTTCATGGTTGTTTTTATGGTAAATGTGCAAGTGTGTGTCTTACCCAGCCGTATATAGAGCACGTACTGCACAGCCTCTCTGGGTTGTGTATACAGGATGCTGCCTCTCATGCTCAGCCACAGAAAAATATTCTTGTAATCGGTTACTTTAAAGAAATAGTTCACCCAAAAAATGGAAAATTCTGCCATTTACTCACCCTCATTTCATGACAAAAACACCATTCAAGTATCATTTCATTTTTGGGTGATCTATTTTTTATTTTTTTTTAAGTTTTATAATTGTGCATCAGAGATTGAAACTGAACCTGGTCTGATAGGAATAAGACACTAGAGAGAGAGAGAGAGTGAGTGAGTGAGTGGATTGAGGGAAATTATAAAAGAGGAAAAGAAAGGCAAAGAGGAAGTGGCCCATGAGAATGATGACAGAAAAATAAATCAATATTTAGCAAGTGTAATGAGTGTGTTTACTCATGCTATCCTAAAGCATACTTGCCTACTAGTTTGTTTGTAATGTTATGGTAAATATATGTGGTTGCTAGGGTATTTAGATGGTTGCTAGGGTGTTATGTCTGGTTGCCAAGGTGTTGCTATGCAGTTACCAGAGAATTCTTGGTGGCCATTGCATTGCTATGCAGTTGCTAGGGTGTTCTGGGTGGCTGCCAAAGTGAAGTTATGTGGTTGCTAGGGTGTTTAGGTGATTGCTAGGGTTGCTATGCAGCTGAGGATGTTTTGGGTGGCAAGTGCATTGCTCTACAGTTTCTAGGGTATTTGGGTGGTTTCCAGGGAGTTCTATGTGTTTCAGAGGGTGTAGCCGCAAAGGCATTGCAATGCACTTGCAAGGGTGTTCTATTGTTAAGGTGTCAGGGTGTTGCAGTGCAGTTGTTAGGGTGTTCAGGGTATTGCAGTGCAGTTGTTAGAGTGTTCAGGGTGTTGCAGTGCAGTTGTTAGTAGGGCTGCACAATAAATCGCATGTGATCGTCATGCACATCTTGTCAGTAAAGCCGGTTCTGTGATTATTAGTAAATCTCCATTACGTGCTTTCAGATGGAGCGGCATTTACTACACAGACCCGTAGTTCGCTGACAAGCTATGCAATATCGCGTTCATAATCGAAGCGATTTATTTGCAATTATGAACGCGATATTGCATAGCTTGTCAGCGAACTACGGGTCTGTGTAGTAAATGCCGCTCCATCTAAAAGCACGTAATGCGATTTACCATGCAGCCCTAGTTGTTGGGGTGTTCAGGGTGTTGCAGTGCAGTTGTTGGGGTGTCCAGGGTGTTACAGTGCAGTTGTTGGGGTGTTCAGGGTGTTGCAGTGCAGTTGTTGGGGTGTTCAGGGTGTTACAGTGCAGTTGTTGGGGTGTTCAGGGTGTTGCAGTGCAGTTAATAGGGTGGTCAGGGTGTTGCAGTGCAGTTGTTAGGGTGTTCAGGGTGTTGCAGTGCAGTTGTTAGGGTGTTGCAGTGCAGTCGGTAGAGTGTTTAGGGTATTGCAGTGCAGTTGTTAGGGTGTTCAGGGTGTTGCAGTGCAGTTGTTAAGGTATTAAGCTAGTAACTGTTTACTCTATCACACAAATGCGGCGATCCAAAACAGTGAATCTAATCACCATTCAGGCAAAAGTTTGCTTCATGAATGACCACACTACTGACGTGATCTTATCGTTAACACAGCCAGAACACATGAGTTATTCGTTTTATCCGCAAGGCATATAGGCATACATTTTTTCAAATCGGCCAATGACGATGTTTACATTTTAAGCCTTTATCAGCCGATTCCAATAATGTTCTGATAATATCGTACTTCCCTAAATAGTAGTAATGCTTTCCACAGCAATAACCAACTACAAGACAAAAACTAACAGAGAGAGAGTCTTGTGATTGTGAACGAGGACTACTGATGGTTTCCATGGATACCGCTTTCAGTCCAGACACTGTAAAAACTTTCATTGTGTGGCAAAATCACTCTGTTTACAACACAGATCTCAATCAAAACATTTCATCGATCAACAGGTACTTTCAGAGAACACAGGCAACGTTCTGTGTTGTGGAGACAAAACTAAATGGCTGATGTATGATAACACAGGATGTGATGGACACATGTTTTGTTGATCTTTTTATGGATCGGGGTAAAAGGAAACGCCCCGGCAAAGCACTTCCCCAAAACATTTGTGCTTTTTAGTGGGTGGTGTGGAGCAGAGGTTAACATTTTCTTCCTTCTTCCATTGGTTTCAAGATCCAAGTTTGTTCAAATCCAAAAGCAATCTTTACGCTCAGATCACGGATAATGATTGTTTTTAAACAGGTTTGCCAATGAGTTTTGTCAATGTTTGTTTAAACAAATAGTCCCGCCCCAAATTCCCGCCATTGGTCAAGTTGACATGTCAAACCCTATAAACCAACACTGCAATGATTCGAAAGCTCTCTTATAGAAATTCAACAGAAATAGCCGACTTGTAGTTGTCTCTGCACATTAAAATACAACAGAAGTATTTTAACACCAAAAAAGACACTTTACCTTTAAACTAGTTTAAACTAAGACTTAAGGTAGAAGTTAATCATTCTCCTGCCTGACAGACCTGCCTGATAAAGCGACAGATTGTAAATGGTTTCACTGCAGCTGTACAATAACACAAGCAGCCTATCACACTGTTAGCAGTTCATCAGTTCTCAATCTTCCCATTTCTCTTCACACCTGCGTCTCTCTTTTTCTCTCTTTCCTACCATCCATCTATCCATGAAGACACATCCCTAAAACCAAACACAAATATGAAGCCTGTCTGGATACCAAAAACACTTAAAAGTAAATACAAACCGACATCCATTCTCATCATATAAACATCCTGCTCACATCCTCAGGAAGGTAAGAAAAAACCCACGAGGCAAGACAGATCTTATGCTCTGCTATGAAAGTCTAAGGCTATTTCTACAGTAAATAAAAACTAAAATCACTCCCAATATAATCAACAAAGCACTGGGTGCCCCATTTCTATTTTTGTCACACTATGCAGGCAATTAATTTTTCCAGCTTATTTAAAATAAAATTATTATTTTTACAAAATTTCATATGTTATTATTTCTATGAATTGTATTTGTTGCATATTTAAATAAATTAATCTGTGTTCTCTACAAGCTAATTTTTTAGCATTTAACACTCAAAACATTGGTGCCAGTATTTTTTTTTATTAAATAAATGTAAATATATATATATATATATATATATATATATATATATATATATATATATATATATATATATATCGGCAGTGAAAGTGAAACATGAGGATGCAGGGAAAAGGAGGACTAGCATGAAAATTAGGAGAAAAAAGACAGAAGGCAAGAGAGAGCAAGGGTGAGTGAAGGAGAAAGAGAGAGAAGGAGGGAAGGAAGAATCTGGAGCAAGAGATGAGAAGAGAGGAGAGGCAGGGGAGAGTGGGTGTGTGTAGCACATGGTCCTCAATCTAAAAAAAGGACGAGAGCGGTTGAAGCCAAACTCGGAGTATGGATGAGCGAGATGAAAAGACAGAGAAAGAGGGCTGCAGCTACACAGAGATGGTGAAAACACAAGGACATTTCACTGGAGAAATGAAAGAGACGGAAAATGAGTCAAGTAGGGATGAACTCATTTGATATTAGAAATCTGATCGATATTACCAATGGTATCTTTTCAACCTGCATGTTAAAGCCCTAATATTTATAGGGCTGGGTGCTCACAAAATTGTATTATTCGATTCGATTCCAATGCAGAAGCTCTTGACTCTTGAAAAAAAAAAAAAACGAATGCTGTACACTATACAAGGAACTAGGGGTTGGGGAAAAAATCGATACAGCATAGTATCGCGATATTTTCCGCGCCAATACTGTATCGATACATGGACGCCAAGTATCGATCTTTTATTATACTATTTGGTAGAATAATAAAATCTATTTCTTTACAATCCACTAGATGGTGGTGTTGAACTTTTTTCTGGTGAGGTCAGCTGGGTCACTTTCAGCATGCAGTAAGTTAGTAAAATAAAGAGGGCGGCATCTCGGAAAGTGATCAGGAAAGCCCCGTCCACGTTTAAATCAGATATATTGACTTACTTCAAATTTGTAAACAAGGAGGGGATGCAAGTAGGGATGCACCGAAAATATAGGCTACATATAATAATAATAATAATAATATATATGGCCCTCGTCACTGCGCGGTTTGACGCTCCGCTCAATATTCCGATCTATGAATGTGCCGCTCATGCTCATCGGAAAAGCAAAGTCTGCTCAAATAACGCGCGGACAGGAAATTTCTATGCAGCATAGGCCTACTTGTTCCGGTTTGCAGTAGTGCTACTGTGCTGTAACATGGTGTAGGCTAGTTCAGCTGTACTGGGCAACGCTGCTAAAATGATGCTACCTTCAGTGACGCTATGCTCTGCTCATATGCTCTGATAATAATAGCTTTGTAGGACTACATTATTTGGATAATTAGTCAAAAAAACAACAACAACTTATATCTGATTATGTTACATAGAAGTTAATAAAAATAATAGATTGATATTTAATATTAAAGTAACACTTTTCAATAAGGTTCCATTAGTTAATGTTAGTTAATGTATTAACTATCATGAACGAACAATGAACAATACATTTATTACAGTATTTATGAATCTTTCTTAATGTTAGTTAATGAGAATACAGTTATTCACTGTTAGTTCATCTTAATTCAGAGTGCATTAACTTTTCGGTTTCGGTTTCGGCCCAGAATTTTCACTTCGGTGCATCCCTAGATGTAAGACTACATGTTTTATTTAATTTAATTAAAATTTAACAGTAATTTACTTTCAAATGCCCCAATTGCTGAAGGGTCTGCACAACTTTTTAGTACAATTTCAAGTTGCACTGTTCAAAATACCAGTAGTAGCACAGCAGTGCATACCTGTTAACATTTAATTAAGGTGGACTAGATTAGACTGTAATACAAATAGTTGAGTTTGCCAGGTGCACACAACATTTATGACAGGTTTTCATGAAAGTGTTGGTCAGTTTGTCTGCTTGACAATCCCATTTTGCACTGCAACAATAAAATTGAAGTGAGATAAACAAACTGAGAAATGTTTATTTTTAGTTAAAACCGATGTTGTCAAAGTTTTCCTTTGGGGACATAATTTGAAGTTAGAAAAATTTAATAAATTGCAATATATCGCAGAATATCGCAATATATTTTAAA